GGTGGCAGAGAGGGCCGCCCCAGGGGAGCAGCCTCCCCCCAGACCTTTGGCTGTGGCCAGCGTGGGGAGGGCCTGGGACAGGCCGGACACTGAAGGAGAAGCAGGGGGAGGGAGGAGCACGCTTTGCCCACGCAGGTATTTACTGAGCACCCAGGAGGAGCAGGAACTGTGGGCGCTGCTGCACCTACCTGAGTTTCAGGTCCACCTCACCAGCCACGGGCTGTGGGCGAGAGCCACTCGTTTCACTTCCCTGAGCCTCCTCTCTCTCCCTCCATAAATGAAAGTGATAACGCCTTCTCCACCGTACCCAGTTAAATGCAACAAGAACAGTGCTTGGCACAGAGCAGGCACTCAACCTCGGTAGTTACCCCAAAAGGGAAGACCTCAAACTTACCCTCTAAATAGTGTTTGTCCCGATGTCGTTGCTGCTCTGTGGAGGCTGATCTGGCGCACAGCCACCAGGTAGGGCACTGCCCTGCTGCTCTTCATAAGCTGAAGCTGGGCCCACCTGGTGGTCTAGGGCCAAGTCTCAGAGCAGTCACCACTGCCCACTGCAGCCTGAGTTCAATCCCCGGCCAGGGAGTGACCCACAGAGCACAGCAGACCCTTCTGTGTCCCCGCTGCTCCCCTCAGCAGTGGATTTCAGTAGATCCGCCCGTTCTGCTCCCCACTGTCTCTGGTGAGTCCTCTCACCCCCTGAACCTCCTGCACCTTTGGCCTGTACCCCAGTTCTTCCACACACACACAAAGCTAAAGGGCAGCTTTGGTCCCCATGAGACAGAGCTTGGACGGCCATTTCCAGAAGAGCTTCAGGAGCCTCCAGGCCAGTGAAGGTCGCGGCCCCAGAACCAGGCTTTCCAGCCCGCTGTTCCCTGCCGCAGCTGCCCTAGGCTGTACATATCATGTCCACTATTACTGGGGGCCAGGCAGGGAGAGTCTGAAGAGCCGCAGGCAGGTTCATGTCCACCAGCGAGACCCATTTGCAAGAGATGTTGACTTAGCCTCCCTCTGCCGAGAGGCGGGAAGGAGAGGTCCGGCTTCTCCCCGCGCGCCAGCTCTTATGGACGTTCCTCGCGCCCTGTGACACCCCCGAGGGATCCACGCAGCTTCTCCTCCGCACACGCATGCGTTGAGACAACCATCCACGGGGCGTGACAGCCCAGGGTTAGAAGTTCAGGTGCTGTCAGGAGCGAGGAGCCAAGCTACTCAACTTGGAAACTAAACTTGCTAAGCGCCAGGCCACACAAGCCAGCAGTGGACACGGCAGGTGGGTAGTGAATGGGGGATTAAGAGCACCAGGGAGCTGCTGGAGCAGCACAGGCTGGACTCTCCGTGGGCCCTCCAAGGACCCCAGGGGTGCTGGGGTGGAGAATGCCAGCCGGGAGAGGTCCAGGAACGGAGCGGTCCATCTAGTGACTTGTCCACGCTTCGGGACCTGTGAGGGGCAGGATGAGCGGCTGGGTGAGGTGCCTGAGAAGTGTCAGTATCCGTGTTAGGGGTGGCCTGACCCCTTTCTGTCTCCTCACTAGCAATTCTGTGGTCACTGCTCTGGGCGGGGTGTTCAAAGTGATAGATGCTGAACTAAAGCGTGGAGAAGAGGGAATCTGTAAATGCCGGATCATTTATTTAAGTGCCAAGATGGTTAATTTTATGCGTCAACCTGCCTGGGCCGAGGGGTGCCCGGACAGCTGGTCGGATGATGCCTGGGTGTGTTTGGGAGGGTCAGAAGTCAGTATTTCCGCCGGCAGATGTGAGCCTCCCCGGTGGTGCAAGGGGTTCAGTCGCAGCACTAAGAAGCTATCGCAGCCAGTGCAGCTTCATTCTGCCCCTGGCCAGGAGGCCCAGCAGACCCCTCCTGACCACCCGCTGCTCCCCTCAGCAGTGTGTTTCACTCGACCTGCCCGTTCTGCTCCCCACTGTGTCTCAGGTGAATCTGTTCACCCCCCCAACCCCCGCACCTCTGGCCTGCACCCCAGTTCTTGTATGCGTAGATAAATATATATTTTTTAAATCAGAAGGGCTTCCTGGAGGGAAGATACAGCATCAAAGCTCCGAGACTACCCAGACGAGGGAAAAGTGTTAATGTGGGATCAGATATTTTTCTTTGGTCAACTTGATCTTACTAATGAGTTCTTGACATTCCTGCCTCTTTCAGATCCACCTTTGCCAACATTTTTATCCGAATTTAAATGGACAGACACACACATGCTCCCTCTCTCCCTCTTCTTCCTAACTGCTATAAATTTCTGCTTTATATCTATTTAAAGTTGGAAAGATGGTCCCTTCTCTCTCTCGAGTTTATTCTTAGTTTACTTCAAACAGGCATCTCATCACTTTCTTTACAAGTTTCGACACAGTAGGTGAGTGAAGTTCTCTGGCTTCTCTTCTGTCTGTTCTTAATGACTCCACAGCCTTTTCTCAGTCTAAACATGTAATTGAGCAGGTGATGCATTGGGTGGGCGCCTTAGCTACTCTGCAGGTCTAATGCAGCTCACCAAGGGCTTCAGAACTGTGTAGAAGGCGGTTTATGTCGGTAATAATTACAGTATATTTTCTTGAATCTTCCCAATGGGCAACCTTTCAACTTTTTTTTTTTTTGAGATTTATTTATTCATACAGAACCGGGGTACAAGCCAGAGGTGCAGGGGCGGTGAGAGGCTTCACCAGAGACAGAGAGGGGAGCAGAATAGGCAGATGGACAAAGCACACTGCTGAGGGGAGCAGGCGGGTCAGAAGTGGTCTACGGCGCCCCGTGGGTCACCCCCGGGGTGGGGATCGAACTCGCACTGAAGCGGCTGCGGCCAGCTTGCAGTGCTGCATCCTGACCCGGGAGGGTCCCGCAAGCTTTCGACTTTAAAGCTTGAATTTGATCACTGAAAATGACCAAAGTTAATTCAAAAGAAAGTCTAGTGCTCACACAGAACAATGCTAAGTGTTCTAGATGCAAAAAATAAGGTGTTCAGACCCCTAAGGTGTCACTGTTAAACCCAAGCCCACAATGACGTCACTGAGGCTCCCAGTCGAGCTCTGGAGAGCTGTCTCTGCCAGGCCCGGCCTCAGCGCCAAAGCGGTCAGGGTCTGCAGCCAGGCACCAGTGCTAGCCTACTGTGCCACCCAGCATCCTGGCGGCGTGTACAGATCAGAGGCTGCGGTGGGCACAGTGGCAAGCCGCTGCCCCGGGGACACCCGACTTCACTACTGAGGCCAGTTAGAACGCCCGGCCAACCCCAGGCCCGTATTTCCTCCTGCGTCCTGCCTCTAGAATCAGATTATGACCTCCCACGTGGATCCCAGGGCCCTTCATTAATCTCCAGTCCACAGCTCTTTCCTCCAGTAAAGCAGGCTAACTGGTCATTTCCAGTGCAATAATTCACTTTCTCTTTCTATGATCTTCTAGACTTGCAGGCACATTAGAATCACTTAGGGGAACTTTAAAAAATAAAATGCCCAGGCGCCGTCTCAGAAGAATTAAATCATGCCAGGTGGGCCCAGCATACGTTTTTTTAAGCTCCCCCAGGATATTCTGATTTTCACTTACGAATAAACCAGTCTAACAAAGTCTCCTTGCTACTCCTGATATCTGTGCCCCAACCTTAATTTCGCCTGGGGAAATTAAGATCCTACATTATTACTTATGAATATGGTATATGATTTAATTATTCCTGTTCATTTTTACCAGCTAGTTACTTGTTACTTGTAGAACTTGTTTTTCTTAAGCAATTATAAAAAAAACAAAAACCGGCCCTCCCTGGTGGCGCAGCGGGTTAAAGCACAGCACTGAGAAGCTAAAGCCGCTTCCGCATGAGTTCGATTCCGCCTGCCCCGGAGGAGACCACATGGCGCTGCAGACCTCTCCTGACCCGCCCACTGCTCCCCTCAGCAGTGTATTTCAGTCACTCTGCCTGTTCTGCTCCCCACTCTGTCTCTGGTGAAGCCTCTCGCCACCCCTGCACCTCTGGCCTGTACCCCTCAGTTCTGTATGCATAAATAAATAAATCTTAAAAAAAAAAAAACCTATGAACTCAAAGGTCACAGATATATATATATATATATATACCCTTAATTTTCAATTCTGCTTGTTTAACCCCATCTTTCCAGGGTGGGGCCTGTCTGCCTTCATAAATTGGAAGAAATGAAATTCCACCCAGCCTTGGGTGAAATACCGGCAATACCCAGGAAACAGGTTGGCATGTCAACATGTAAGCCCCCTGCACCTCCGGTACCCACACTTTCTTCTCAGCCTTGAAATGTCTGGAAGTGGTTTTAGGACTTTTCTTCAGTTGAGCCTTACAACCTCCACTTAAACTTGGTGACAGGCAATATCCTCACACAGCAAATGAGAAAACCAAAACGGGATTAAATCTCTGGCCTCCTGAGTTTGTCCAGGCCTCTTTGTGACAATAATCTTTGTAAAAGCATCTAAAATGCTTTACACAAAATACATGGCCGGCGGCGGTGTGGCTCGGGGCTGAGTGCGGCGTGGGGGGCCCTGGCTTGTCCCCAGCATCTCCATCCATGTCTTCCTTGCATTCCTTCCAGCCCGCCAGCTTCGGCAGGCGTGATTTCACCATGCAACTTGAGCAAAAACACCAAATTTACATTACGTAACATTTATAGAGAAATATAAACGCAGAGTGGCTCCAGTGGCCTGGGACAACCATTGTTATTTTAAAGGTGTGCTTTTTTGCACTTAAAAAAAAAATGCAGTAGATTGTACGCCACATGTTTAAACAAAGGTTTAGTTTTCCTGGATTTTGTCGGTTTGTGTGGCCTGGGAGTGGTGAGAATGTGGTCAGCATGAGGCCTGTTCTCCCGCAGCCCTGCAGGCCTCTGGTAGGTGCCTGCTTCGCTGGGCTGGGGCAGTCATTCAGCATGGCAGCCCGGGGAGAAACCAGCCAAGGAAAACAGGACCTGGAAATAAGATCTTCAATTTTAGGATTTCAAGTTGAAACTTTCAGATCACCATCTTCTTCCATCTGCACATTAGAACTAGAAAAATAAGATTGATGCAACAGAAAGGGCTTGTTCCACACCACGTGGGTAGAGAACATTCACTGAGGACCAGAATCCAGTCTTTAACTCATCACCCAGGTGCTAGCCACACTGTGTGATTCTTCATTCAGGTTCCTAATAGCACATGACACCACGAAGGACATGAACTGAGGGGTGGCCTTCACCCTTGGGCGGCCTTTTTTTTTTTGAAGATTTATTTATGCGGCCCTCCCTGGTGGCGCAGCAGGTTAAAGCACAGCACTGAGCAGCTTACGCCACTTCCGCATGAGTTCAATCCCCACCCCAGAGGGGACCCACAGGGCGCTGCAGACCTCTCCTGACCTGCCCGCTGCTCCCCTCAGCAGTGGACTTTGTCAATCTGCCTGTTCTGCTCCCCACTCTTATCTCTGGTGAATCCTCTCACCACCCCCTGCACCTCTGGCCTGTACCCCAGCTCTGTGTGCACAAATAAATAAATCTTAAAAAAAATTACTTATGCACACAGAACTGGGGTACAGGCCAGAGGTGGCGGGGCAGTGAGAGGATTCACCAGAGACAGAGTGGGGAGCAGAACAGGCCGACTGACAAAGTACACTGCTGAGCGGCAGGGAGATGGAAGAGGTCTGCTGCACCCTGGGGTCAGCTTCCTGGCCAAGGGTCAACTCGTGCTGCAGCGGCTGCAGACAGCCACAGTGCTGTGCTTTCACTCACTGCGCCACCAGGGAGGGCCCTGGGAGGCTTGATCTTAAGTCAAGTTTTAAGATTTGAGGCCTCCCTGGTGGCCTGGCGGTTAAGCCTCAGCGCTATCCCCGCTCTGAGTTCAATCTCCAGCCAGGGAGGGACCCGCAGGGCGCAGCAGACCTCTCCTGTCTCCCCGCTGCTCCCCTCAGCAGTGGGTTTTAGAACCGGCGTTCTGCCCCCCACTCAGTCTCTGGTGAACCCTCTCACCCGCCCACCCTGCACCTCTGGCCTGCACCCCGGTTCTTCTATGCATAAATAAAAGGTTTTACAGTAAACACTGGCTTTGCTCACACACATACACACACACACACACACACACACACACACAAGAGCCACGTAGCCTTGTGAAGTTTTATCAAATTTTATTTGAAACGTGCCCTGGCTATTTTGAGAGCAAGCACAAGTGTTTGAGGCTTCTGAATGGACTGTATCTATCCGCATTCTTTAATATGTGGTTGGTCTTGGGGGTAAAATGTGCTGATGAGGCAATCTCACAGATCAAAGTCACAGTGGGAGTGTATGTGTATATATATTTATGCATTATGGCCAGTTTCTGGAGCAGGTATGGAAAGGAAGCGCCCTAGAAGTGACAAAGGACTCCTCTGTAAGAACAGAAACAGCATATTCTGCGTCCTTTACGCAAGAGACAGTAAGCTCTGGTGTCTGAGAGGACTGATGGAGAAGCCCTTTAAGGACCCACCGCGGCGAGACCCTCTCTGATCCTGTAAGACTGGGCCCGGCTGGGCTACCGCCAGCCCACCCCAAGTGAAGTCGCGGCCCACAGATCTGTGCAGGGACCGCAGCCGACCGGACCAAGGTGACCACTGACCGAGGGGAGCCTGTCCGAGGTGGGGCTGGAAATGTCTGTGGCCTGGAACAGAAAAAGGAGCTGGACCAGACCCCGTGCCTTAGAATCTGAACTGGGAAAACCTGGAGGGCCACAGCCAGCCACCTGCTGCTGTGACTCACAGCTGGCTGCATCAGGCTCCGCCCGCCAGCAGACCGCCAACTTCAGGCAACGCGGGCTTCTGCAGAGCAGGTGGTTTGTAGTGTCCACTTCCGGTCAGCCTGCCTGAGCACTGCCCGCCTGGCCCCGCGAGCTCCCCTGGCACTCTCTGCACTGGAATAAGCGCCCTCCTGCCCTCCCTGAGGCGGTCTCCTTCCTTCGCTGGTGATGGTTACATGTAGCAGGTGCTACATCCTCTGCGGGGTGAGGGGAGGGCTGGCTCCTGTTGCTCCTAACCCACGAGTGTCTGTGTGAGGGCCAGGGCACCCCCTCTCTCACCTGACCCAGTGGGAGTTACCTTTCGCCTCTCAAGGCTGCTCCCAGAAGCAGCCCAGCGGAGGCCCAGCGGGACTCGGAGGCCCCGGGCCAGCCGGAGCCCTGCAAAGGCAGCTCCACAGCAGCTGGCGAGGCGGGCCCTATCCGCTTTCCAGACAAGCCGTCCACTTCAGTCCCTCTGCGCCTGGCCAGGGGCTCACCTGATGGTGACCGTGAAGGACCTGGCAGCCGGAATGGAGCTGGTCGTCGGGTCGGACCTGCCCCACGCCAGGCGCCTGGCCCGGTGGCCCTCGCAGCCCAGACGGCGGCCGAGGGCTGCTCCTGCCCTGTCCAGCGGTGGCCAGCCCTCGGGTACCGCAGCAGCGGGCGGGTCAGGAGCCCTGGCGGGTCGTCTCCCCACACCTGAAAACCCTCTGCTGGACTTTACTTTCCCCACAAACCCACTTTACTTATCCACTCTTGAACCTCAAGCCGACTTTTTAGAGCTCTCTGTGGCAGGGCCGGCAGAGCAGGGGTGCACGATGACACCCCGTCCCTTTCGCAGGCGAGACCCTGTTCCTTCCCTTCCATGGTTTTCAGGGCTCTCGACTCACTGCTAACTGACCTGTGTTCTCCCCTGCACAAAGCCTGGGCCCCCGCCCGTGCGGCCTCCCCATCTTCAGGCCCCTCACTAATAAGCGCTGGCTCTGTACCTGCAGAACCTCCTATGGTGTCGCCCACACACACCTGGTGCAGGAGCCCTTCTCCGGCGCCCCGGCCAGGGCGCTCGTTACCTAAACACACGGCCGGGCACTTTGCCCTTCTTGTTAGGGATGGGGTGCCGACCGCGGGGGGGCTCACGCTCAGGCTCCTCGTGGGTCACTGGAGCAGTCGGAAACCCAGAGCTCCCAGGGCCCTAGCGATTCCCCGGCACGGGTCCACATTCCAGCCAGCGCGGTCCTGACGCTGGCGAGCCAGCGGTTTTGCTCATCACGTCTTGGTTGCTCTGGGCCCTTCGGTCTTCGCTCCGTGCCTTCAGCGTAGTCCAGACGGGGCCAGGCCCCACAGCCGCACCTTCAGTCCCCCGAGGCCCTGGCACTGACTGCTGCTGCAGCCGAGGACAGGCGCGACCGTTCTGAAGAGCGGCCTGTTCACACAGAGGCTCCGGAGCAACCTCGCTGGGCAACGCCGTCTCGCCTGGCTCCACCTGCGAGGCGGGTGAGGCCGGCCAGGTGCTAAGGGCAGCGGGAGCCCTTCCCCTGTCTCATCACCAGTGTCCTGTCTGAAGGCCCACAGCCTTGTGCCAGGCACCAGCAGCTGCTCTGCCCGAGAGCCGTATGTGCCACCTGGGCTCTGAGCGGCAGTAAAGTAACAAATCAAACTGATCTCAGTCAAGTTTCAGCAAGAGTGTTTCTACTTTGATTTTTCCATTTTATTTGGCTTTGCCTGGATAGAAGCCAGAGAAAGGATTTTGGCAAGAGAAGAAACGTACCACGGGATTTTTTTCAATGTCTAGAAGCTCACTTTTTTCCTTTCACCAGCCTCAGTTTGTACACGACATGTGAGGGACATAAAGAAAGGCGACTCGCCCCAGCCGCAGCCTCTCGCTGGGCCCCGCCTGACGCGGCCAGGTGGCTGAATGGCCAGAGTGAAAGGCCCAGCGGCCCCAGTCCTACAGGCGAAACGCAGCCGCGGCCGTCCCCGTCTGCTCGGCCTTGGCTCGCGGCCGCGGCCCCGCAGAACCGGGCGGGCGAACACGCAGCCCTCACACTGTCTCACTGTCGGGAAGAGGGGCTGGGTGTCCCCTCACCCCGGAAACCACTGCGCCCGGCACGAGCTGGGGTCTTTTCTGTGGACGGTGGTCAAGAACATCAGCCACCAGGAATGAGAAACCAGCTGGCTGGCTGGGCTAGGTTAGGAAGAACGTGACGCACAGGACTGAGACACGCTCAGGCTCAGATTTCAGGCCGTCTCCGCTGGGAGCGCGAGCTTTTCGAGCCAGGGCTGACACTGGAGCGCAGGTCTTAACCAGGACCTCAGGAAAGGTCTGCAGCAGTTTCAAAGCCAGTAAGGATCTGAATGTTTCCAATCAAGCTAAGCCAAGAACTGTTCCCTCTGAGGAGCTTTTAAAATCAGATTTCTCGCTCACCCAGCATACAACCAAGAACTGTAAGCACTGACCTGGGGCTTGGGCAGGCCGTCTGGAGTAGGGCTTCCGGGAGACAGCGCCCGGGGTGGCAGGCGGCTGGTTCAGGGAGGAGGGGACGCAGGGCTGAGGCCGGGCCCTGGCTCCGGAGGCAGCGTGGTAGCGGGAATGACGGAGCGCCCAGTCCCACCCCTACTGCCTGCAGAGGGGGTGTGGCGGGCCCCCCCATGCCCACACCCCGGAACCTGCCATCCTGCCTCACCCACTGCCCTGGACAGACTGCCAGAGGCCTCGCTTGCTTTCCAGCCTCTGCCACTTTCTAACTTCTGCTTAGGTGACATTTTGGAAAACAGGGGGGGACTGGCCTTCCTGGGCCTCAAAATACGGAGTCTTGTAATGTTAAATCGCAACACCGCACATCTCGGTCAGGTGCATGAGACCCCAAGTCAGCATCCTGCCGGGCAGGAATTGCGGCCGGAGTGGAGGGGCCCACAGGCTTTCCTCCTGCCACTGGGTGGCGGGGACCCCAACCACAGAAACCAGAGTTAGAGAACGCCCCCCCCACTTCCTTCCCCATACCACGGAGTGGCCGCCAGGCCTTCGGGGTTAACGCCCAGGCCAGGGGGCTCCAGCCCAGGGAGGAGGGGCCCCGGGGGGTCTGGCGGCAGTGCCGGGGGGTCAGGGTCCGCCGCAGCCCCGCAGCCGCCACTGTGACCCGAGCGCTGGTGGTCCTTGAGCGTCTGTTTGTAGCGGAAGCTCCTGCCGCAGAAGGCGCAGGGGTAGGGCCGCTCGCCCGTGTGGATGCGCTGGTGCTTCATGAGGTGGTGCTTGCGGATGAAGCTCTTGCCGCAGTGCGCGCACTGGAAGGGCCGCTCGCCCGTGTGCAGCCGCCGGTGGTTCAGCAGGTGCTCCTTGCGGATGAAGCTCTTGCTGCAGTCCGTGCAGGGGTAGGGGCGCTCGCCGGTGTGGGTCACCTGGTGGCGGATCAGGGCCGAGTGGCCGTTGAAGGCGACGCCACACTGAGGGCAGGAGAAGGGCCGCTCCTGCGCGTGGCCCCGCTGGTGCAGCAGCAGGCTGATCTTCAGGCTGAAGCCGCGGCCGCACTGCGCGCAGCGGAAGGGCCTCTCGCTGGCGTGCGCGCGCCGGTGGCTGGTGAGCCGGGCCTGGTCGGCGAAGCGCTTGGGGCAATCGGGGCAGGGGAAAGGGCGCTCGGTGCTGTTGTGCACCCGCAGGTGGCAGGTGAGTCTGGACGGGTGAGTGAAAGTCCTGGCGCAGTGCGGGCAGGTGGGGGGCGTCTCGCCGGCATGGGCGGGGCCCGCGCCGCCCAGCTCGGCGGGCGGGGAAAAGTGCTTGAGGCACGGGGCACAGGGCGCCGCAGGCTCGCCCGGGGGGCCGCACTGGTGGGCCAGCAACATGTCCTGGCTGAGGCTCTTGCCGCAGTGGTGGCCCGAGAACGCCTGCTCCCCGGGCGGCGGCGGGGGCGGGTAGCTGCCCAGCTGGGTGAAAGTCACTCGGCCCTCGGCGCCCCCACCCAGGTCGGGGGCTGCGTGACCAAACGGTGTCACCGCGGTGGCCTGCTGGCTTTTGAATGCCACTTCTGAAAAGGTATCCTTGGCAGCTGGAGCTGGCGGCGCAGAGAAGGTGACTGGAACCTCTGAGCACAAGGAGGCTGGGGCAAGGCCTTCGGCTTTGACGACAAGCTCTTCGTCTGCGGAGAGCAGCAGTCACCCTGTCAGCAGGCTCACCAGCCCGGCTTCCCTGCCCACCCCAACAGGGCTCCGGCTGAGGGCTGGGGGGCTGGGGGGGGCCTGCCAGGGGCAGACAGCAGCCGAGTTCCCTGGGGTATGCTGAGGGATGCTCTGATCCCTCTTCCGTGGGGTGTGGAAGAGGAACAATGCCCCCCAGCTTGCATGAAGCGCCTCCCCCGGCCCTGAGGGAGCTGCGGCCCCTGCGGCTGCGCGAGACCCTGGCTCACCTAGCGCGTCCCTCCCTACTGTGCCGGGCACACCCTTCACCAGTTCGTGGTCTTTCTCTCCCCGAAAGTAAAGGCATTTCTGCTCCTACCCCACTTGCTCTTGCCAGGGGTGCAGGCATCCCTTCTCGCCTTCCCAACTGCTTCACGCTACGGTCCCAGGCCCGCTCTGGCCCCACCTCCTCCTGTGGGCCTTACTGCTAGCTTGACTTTGAAATGCCGTCCATCCGTCCATCCTGCTCCGTGTGGTGCGTAGCGATTCTATTGATATGTGCATCCCAGATATAAATATCTGATGAGCACAAACTATCACCTTTTATTTTTATCTCCTAGAGCCTAAAAGAACACAGCACACAAGGTACTGAAACCAAACGTCAGGGCCTCCCTGGTGGCGCAGGGGTCACAGCGCAGCACCCTGAAGCTGTGCCAGCCTCTGCAGCCTGAGTGTGATCCCCGCCAGGGGGCAACCCCAGGGCGCAGCAGACCTCTCCTGTCTCCTGCTGCCCCCTCAGCAGTGGGTTTCAGTCAGTCTGCCTGTTCTGCTCCCCACTCTGTCTCTGCTGAATCCTCTCACCCATTGCACCTCAGTTCTTGTGTACATAAATACATCTTAAAAAAAAAAAAAACTTCATTAAGGAAGAAACTGGGTCCTTCCTGACCTGGAGATCCCCTTCTACCCAGATGGCAGCAAACCCATGTGATCTTTCTTCTCCCATGGCTGCCCTGAGGTCTGAGCAGCTTCATTCAGCCCCCTTCACTCTGCTAGCCCCCGCCCCGCCCCGCCCCCACACCATCCCCGCCCTCCATGTGGTCTACTGCACCACTCTGACAACTGTCATTTCTCTTCACATGAAAGAGTGTTTTCTCAAACTCATCTTACTGTTACTTGAGCACGTCTCTCCGCCCTCGCCACCGACACCCCTTCCTTGCCTCCACAGCCCGGCCCCATCCGCTGCCGCTGAGCCCGGCCCAGGCTGGACCTGGGCAGCCGTGTCTCCCGGGCCTTACTCACCAGCATAGGGACCTTTGTAGATGGTGCTCTCCTTGGGCTCCTGTGGGGGCCCCACCTGAGGCTCTTCCTCTTGTTTGATCCAAGACAGAATATCTGAAGTGGAGATGCCAGGCTCTGTTGGAGGGTGGGGAGGGAAGCGGGCAGAATGACCTTTGAGGACTTGCATCAGAAAGGGAAAATCATGATGGTTTTGTGAACATTCTTTTGCCAAAGAAAAAAAATTTGGCCCCAGTAGTTCTCTACTTATAACAGTAAAACAGAACGGGCCTTCTAAAACACATGCGCCTAGAGACCTAGTTCAAAATGAAACCACATTTGGGGCCTTCCTGGTGGGCCAGGGTGAAGACTCATGCTATCATGGCTAAGGCCTGAGCTCAGTCCCAGCAGGGGCTGACCCGCAAGGCTCGGCAGACCTCCCCGAGCTGTGCATTTCAGAAAACCCACCTGTCTGCTCCCCACTGTGTCTGTGGTGTGTCCTCTCACATCTCCCCACACCCCTCCTCTGGCCTAAACCCCAGTAGTTCTACTCAAAAATTAAATTAAAAAAATGAAAGAAAAGTTATATTTTTACATAAGATAATCAACTCGACTCATTATTTTTAGGAAACTATGTCAAATCACAAATTTATTTAGAAGGGGGGTGTCGGAAATTACCTAGACTCAATCGTACCTTTCATTTCATTAGCATTCTTACTTTCAAACTGTTTTCACCATTTTCTCCCAGTCTTTTTTTGAGATTTATTTATTTATGCACAGACTGCTAGAGTACAGGCTAGAGGTGCTATGGTGGTAATAGGAGTCACCAGAGACAAGAGTGGGGAGCAGAACAGGCAGACTGACGAAATGCACTGCTGAGGGGGGCAGTGGGTGAAACACGAGGGGTCTGCTGCGCCATGTGGGTCACTCACTGGCCGGGGATCAAACTCATGCTGAAGTGGCTTTGACTAGCTTTATAGTGCTGTGCTATTTAACCCACTGTGCCACCAGGGAGGGGCCCTCCCACAGCTTTTTTATGAATTCATGAACCTCCAGTTACGTAGAGGGTGTCCCCGGAAGTTACGGATAACCTGTCAACAAAGAAGTATTTACAGTGAAATGCCATACTATTCAGTTTGCTTTAAAATATTCTAGGAAAAAAGCAAAAAAAAGAAAAATTGACCATAGAAGTTTCTTTTAAATGTTCATTAAAACAACAAAATCTCCAGGGCCCTCCCTGGTGGTGCAAAAGGTTAAAGCACGGCACTATGAAGCTATCCACAGCCACTGCAGCACGAGTTCGATCCCTGCCCCGGAGGTGACCCACAGGGCGCAGCAGACCTCTCCTGACCCGCCTGCTGTGTGCTTTGTCCATCTGCCTGTTCTGCTCCCCACTCTGTCTCTGGTGAATCCTCTCACTGCCCCTGCACCTCTGGCCTGTACCCCAGTTCTGTGTGCATCAATAAATAAATCTTTAAAAAATTTTTCCAGAATTACAAAGTTAGGCCTGTATACAGAGCTGCCTTGCAGGAAACAGACCCCCAAGAAATCCTTCCATGATTTCCTTCCAAGAAATCATGTCACCTGGCTGACTACATGCTGCACGTGATTGTCTCCGAGGCCCAGGCGGTCGGGGCCAGTACTGCAAGTCCAGCAGGCTCTGCACAGGGCGCGCTTCGTTTGGTCAGCACAGAAACAGCTGCGCTCGCTGACAGCCAAGTCTATACAGCCTTTCCTGGCCTCAAAAGCTGGCAGGCTGACAAGGCCCAGAGAGTGAATTCAAGCTCTGTTGTATTAATAAAAACAAAAACAAAAACCCCTGTGGGCAGGTTATGGTTTCATTCCAAACAAGTGAGGAGAATCATCTGTTCTGCCCAATGCCTTTTAAGTCAGGCAGAGACCCCAGAGAGCTAACGACGTGCCCACAGCAGGAATAAGGTCCCCCCCAAGGCGCGCCGGCTGCCTTTCGGCTCCCCACTGCGAGCATATGGCTGGCGTGGCGCAAACACAGTCCAACCTTCCGGATGTGAGAGACACACGTGTATGAAGGGAAGACGCAGGGCAGAGGCTGGGTCTAAGCAACAGCCGCTTCCAATAGGCCTCTGGAGGATGAACTTGCTACTCACCAACATGTGAGTTCTCACGATGCTCGACTGCTTCTCCTCCTCAGTTTTCTGAATGATGTGTTATTGCTTCAGAAAACCCCTAGTGTGAGCCAGTGACTGACATTTTTTAAAATCATTCTGAGCTCACGTTATACACTGGATTATTTTTAATCCACGTTAGTCACAATTCTTAGCGCTCACCTGCCCCTTCTTGGCCAGCGGGCGCCCCTTCTGATCAGATTGCGCTCTGCCCGTCCAATATCTAGTTCCCATCACTCAAGCGTGACCAAGGGTCCCGCACAGCCCCTGCTCCAGGCATGCAACCAGTGACCTCTGAGAAACAGGGCTCGGGGCCCACAATCTAGCTGGCAAGGATGGGGGTTACGAATAGGCTGTCAGTGATTTAGGGCTGCCAAGGACTGGGCCATAAAATACAAACCTTTTGGAAAAGAGGAAGGCGCCATGAGTTCACACTAAGAGCACATGGCTTTAATTATCCTGTGATTTCATTCTTATATCTTTTCTCTTACTCTGAAAATCTTGGTTCCTAGGATGTTAACACAAATGCCCTTTGTCAATATGCTTGAAAAGCATCACTAAAATGCAAAGTGATTGTGTCAGCCCTAGGAGCAGCCCCTCCGGAGACAGTGAGAGCAGGGCCGCGAGCTCTCCGGCCGTGACTGTGCGTGCGCCCCTTCCTCCTCTTCCCGAGAAGGGTGCCCGCTTCAAACGTACAGAAAGATGTACACGGGAAGCTGCGTGACAAGGGGGCGGCGAGAGGACGCGCTCTCCAGTACACGGCGCTGAGAACAGGCTGCGCGCGTCATGCAAGACTGAAACCAGGCCACTAACACCGCACACAAAAGTTAATTCAAAATGTATTCAAGATGAATGTAAGACCGAAACCACAAAATACCTTGCAGAAAACACAGGAAGAAAGCTCAGTGAAATCAGTCCTTGCCTTTCTCGTCATTGCCTTACTTCAAAGGCCGGGGAGCCAAAGCAAAACAAAACAGCAAGTTGAAGGCGTGTGGAAGGAAAGCATCACCGGAAGAAAGGCCACCTGCAGCGGGGGGCACTGGCCGGCCACCGAGCCACAGGGGCTGGGACGCACAACACGGGACAGCCCTGCGACTCGACGACACCAACAAGGGGCGGGGGTCTGAGTGACGCTTTCAATGCACAGAACTGGATATAAGCCAGAGGGGTGGCGAGGGGGTGGGTGGAGTGGGGAGCAAACAGGCAGATCCACCGGGGGGCAGCGGGGAGACAGGAGCCGTCTGCTGCGCCCCGGGGGTCACTCCCAGCCCGGGGATCCAACTCAGGCGTCAGTGACAGCCTGGGGCTTAGCCCCTAGGCCGCGGGAGGCCCTGGACATTTTTTAAAACACACACACAGAAGGCCCCGGGCACATGAAGGTGCGAAGGCCAACACGAGACGTGGCCTCCTGCCTGCTGAAAGTCTTCTCAAAGAGAAACACTGAGTGGTGGGGCGGGTGCAGGCAGGGAAGCCTGAGCACTGGCCACGGGGACAGACTGGCGCAGCCTCTAAGAAGCGGCGTGGGCAGTCCGCAGAATACTTAGGCTGGACTGGCCAGGTGACCAGTTCTCAGTATTTACCCAAAGAACATGAACATGCTCGTTTGAAAAGATGTATGTGGCCCCCATGTCTACTGCAGCTGCACCGTCAGGACTGGAAACAGTGTAAGTGTCTGTCCATGATGAAAGGACAATGAAGATCTATATACACACACACCCATAAAAAAAGAGAGACCTTGCCATGTGCAGTATGGGTGAACTTTGAGCTATTATGCTAGAAGTAAAATGAGGTTTCACTCTCAGCACAAGCACCAGGATGGCGTCAGCTGACCCCCACCAGGGAGTGACCCACATGGCACAGCAGACCCCTCCTGTCTCCCCGTTGCTCCCGAGCAGTGGATTTTATTAGATCCACCTGTTCTGCTCCCCACTCTGTCTCTGGCAAATCTTCTCACCCCTGTACCTCTTTTTTTTTTTTTTTCCTCCTCCCACTCACCTTCACTGGAGTCTGCGGGAATCTCACTCTCCTCTGCCACTGCCGCCTGGTCCTCGGCATTATGTTCTCCTTCTGGCTGCATCTGGGATAAGACATCAGGCTGATTCATGGCATAATCTAGGAGAAAAGGGGTAAGACAAAGATAAATGAGAGTAATAGCTAATGGCCCTCAAGGCAGAGCTGAGGGCATGAAGGTCCAAGTTCTGGAGAGCGGCCCCACTCAGGGTCCTCCCACCCGGTCGCCTCCCTACTAGGAGGGTGTGCAGGGGAGGCCCTGGCTACTCTGGCGCTGCTCCCCCCGGGGCAGTGGACAGACAGCATGGCCCTGGCTACTCTGGCGCTGCTCCCCCCGGGGCAGTGGACAGACAGCACACCCAGGGAAGGCACCAAGGCCCTCTCCACCTGAAGATGCACAGAAAACACTGCAGTGGGCACTCACAAACAACTTCATTCTCTGTGCCATGACTTGGCAGAGGAGAGAATATGACTTTCTATTTTTCTAGGGTGAATCATAAATCTTTGGCTGGAATAAAAATCTGACGTGTGAATGGACCAAGTGAAAACGAGGACACCCAGGAAAAGGGGCTCTGAGCGCTCCCGGAGCTGCGGGCGTCCCCTCCTCCAGGCACCAGCTCAGCCTCACCCGCAGAGATGAGGGACTCGTAGTCGCCCTTCATGATGTTCTTGTAAAGCTCCTTTTGCCATTCTTCTAATTTTTCCCACTCTGGAGTGGAAAAGTAGATGGAAATATCGTCAAATGTCACAGGCACCTGAAATGACAATCACACGGCGATCTCTCAGCCAGGGCTCATGAGACTAAGAGAACCAACTATGAAACAGTGAAAGGTACAGGAGAAACTGCAGACAGATCTGCTCTCCAGGGGCGGGGAAAGGCGCTAAGCTGCAGGGCTGAGTCTGGGCCCGGGAGGACATTACTCACACGCAGCCAGGAGACACAGGGACATAACAATGAATTCTCAACATGGGGTTTCTGCCTACAAAGGAGTGTCTGACTGCTCAAATGAATGACCCAGGCAGAAAATGTTGGAGGAATCTAGAACTTGGGCTGTCTGGGAAGGACAGGTAGTTATGAGGCCCAAGGGAACAGGGAAACCTTGAATGGGGTAGAGCCTCAGAGAACAGTTACCAGCCCTGCGCACATGGAGCTGAGCTCTCATGCCAGAGTGGTCCTGGACAGAGAAGAGTTCCCCCACTGGCCACACTCAGGCTTGCTTATCCCTAGGCCAAGGCTGGAAGGTTCTTCAGTGAATGCCAGAGTCGCCGGGGCCTCCGGGCACCCAGCAGACACCACTGCCGAGTGTGGAAGGTCTTCGTGCTGGTGTGGCTGTTCCTTCTCAAATGGTCATTTCTTGCTTCTCCACCTGGCACTTCTACAGTTTTATTCTCAAATATGAGCTAACTGCTGAGTCTCATCGACCACTTGTGAGAGCCTGCCGTGGGACCCGGGCAGACTAAAATGAAGGGGAGATATCATCATGGGGAAAAATACTTAGGCAACAGCATGTTTTGTTTTGTTTTTTAATATCTCTCTAGTATTCCCATAAATATCATACTCATAAAATAAAAACAGGGTGCTATGAAAAAGTTACACAGGGCCCTCCCTGGTGGCACAACAGGATGAGGCACAGCACCACGAAGCTCTCAGCAGGCACTTCTGCACCAGTTCGATCCCTGGCCAGGGAGTGACCACAGGGCGCAGCAGACCTCTCCTGACCCGCCCACTGCTCCCCTCAGCAGTGGACTTCGTTGCTCTGCCTATTCTGCTCCCCCCGTCCCTGGGGAGTCCTCTCACCCCCTGCACCTCTGGCCTGTGTCCCAGTTCTTGTGTGCATAAATAAATAAATCTTTAAAAAAACGTTATACAAAAATCCTGCTAGCTAGTACACATACACTGATACTCTCAAAAGTAAAAACACACTGAAGACACACACACTCGTCTTTTAGACTCCCAGGCCTGCATGACACCAGAAGGCAGCTGGGTGTCTTTTCCATTGGGGGGTTATTTTCTAACTGTATCATTCGTGTCCTCTTTTCCTCCTTAACTAGAAATGTCGTCCCTCAGGGCTGGGACCAGATCACTCATCTTTGCATCCTGCTCAGCACCTGCCACCAGGCGAGGGCAAGTGCGGGCGCTCAGCAGCTGGGCTTATCTCGTCCACCGGCACCCACAGAGGCCCGTGGCAGCTCGCAGCACACACGTGACAAAATGCCTGGAAAGGAAGGGTCAGGACGGCTTCCGGCTCAGGGCTGAACTGCACACAGGTGCTTCCCGTCCTGCGGGGGCGGGGCTGCGGGGAGCAGGGAGCAGGTCTGCGCCAGCCAGCGGGGAAGGAGAAGCCACGGTTTTGCTGAGCTGCTCAGGGGCTACTGGGAGAGAAGTGGGGGGAACGGGTGCTGGCATCTCAGGTGCGCGAGAACTTCCCGCCTGTGCAGCGGAATGCAAAGAATTCAAAGCTAAAGCTGGCAGATACTTGAGTGGGAGTAAAAGTGGTTATAAACAGCAGTTTCTAGGTCTATCTTTAGAATAGCGGGGGCCCCTTGTCTTCTCCATGCGCTCAGAGGAGCCGCATTTACCCCAAGGCTGACACCACAGGCCTCGTTCCTGCTAGAGACACTGCTCCCCTGCCTGGCACCACAGGGGAGGTCCACCTTCCTCTTCCCGGGGTCCCTGCTCTGCTTGCCCCACACCTTAGTCAGGCCCAGCACCTCGAGCACCTGTGGAGACAGCGACTCCTGCCCAGGGAGGATCCTTGGGTTAACCAGACTTCACATGGGCAGCGAAAACATGCCAGGCTCCTATCAGCGGCTCTTAATCAACTGACTCCTTCTCAACTGTACATCTAATGAGCGGCTAAGGAATCTGCTATATGCGTAGAAAACTGAAAATAAAAAAACTACCAGCACCAGGATGAAGGATTCCAGAGGGGGGGGAATCAAACTAGAAAGCAACAAATGTCTCGTACCTATTCTCAGAGGACTCAATGGGTTATTACGCCCATTAATATATAGTCTGAGAGTACAGAACTGTTAAAAGCTAGAACGTCTGGAAGGAAAAGGTGACGGGGCTCTCGTTTAAGGTGAAAAATATGCAAGAACAGTTGGGCAGACAAAGGCACAGATCCAGCGCAAAAGTTACAGAAATAGAGGAGAAAAATGTATAGAAATAGAATCCCAGGGGACTACTTCCCACAGCTGAAAGGACACCAGCTTTCTGATTCAAAGGGCAAAGCACGGGCGCAATACACACTCACAAAGACCTACACTCAGACGCAGTCAACAGGTTTAGAAAAACAAGTATAAAAGCTTCCAGGGAGAAAACGATTTCTTACCAATGCTAATTGACCTCGTATTAAGTTTTCGTCCATGTCACTGGCTCTTAAGAGCAAAGGACCGCCTTTAAGATTGTGAGGGAATGGGTTACTACTCAGCCTGGCCCAGACAGGGGGCTGACACCCACCCACGGAGGGACCCAGGAATGTTCTCACCTACTCTGGGGAGTAGGAACTGTAGCAGGGGTCACAGAGGCGGAAAGCTGCCTGTGGGGCCTGCCAGGAGGGAGAGCTGTGGGAGCTGGTGTCCAGTGGCACAGGGCTTCAGCCAGGGGAGAACATCTGGGAGATGGCGTGGTGAGGGCTGCGCAACACTCAGGGGCTCAGTGCCATGGGCATTTAAAGCAGGTAAGATGGCAAATTTCATGTCACATCTATTTTACGAAAACTCAAAAAATTAAAGTTAAGAAAAAATTCTGAGAGAAAATTATTTTGAACATGTTATTCAAAAATGTAAGAGCAGGTGCCTCCCTGAAGGTGCAGGGGTTAAAGTCTCTGCAATATCAATGCTTTCGCCAGCTGATCCCCCCAGGGAGTGACCCCCAGGACACAGCAGACCTCCCTGGTCTCCCCCTGCTCCTCTCAGCAGGGGATTTCAGTAGATCCACCTGTTCTGCTCCCCACTCAGTTCCTGGTGAATCCTCTCACACACACACCCCAACCTCTGGTCTGCACCCCAGTTCTTATGTATAAACAAATAAAATAAATCTTAAAAAAAAAGCATTTTTTTAAAAAGACTTATTTATGCATACAAAAACTGGGGGACAGGCCAGAGGTGTGGTGGATGAGAGGATTCACCCGAGACAGAGTGGGGAGCAGACTGACTGAAGTACACTGCTGAGGGGAGCAGTGGGCAGGTCAGGAGAGGTCTGCCATGCCATGTGGGTGGCCAGACACTGACCTGGTGCTGCAGTGGCTACAGACAACTTCACAGTGCTGCGCTTTAACCTGCTTAAACCTGCTGAGCCATTAGGGAGGGCCCACAATGACCATTTTCAATAGAACAAAGAAACAAAAGTTTTTTTCCTATTTTTCAATCTAGTAAATCTTTAATGTATCTTAATGGCATGAAGAATCTTTATATATTTTATATATAATGTTGAGATTAAGATGGACAGTTTGAATTTTTTTTTTTTTGTAGGTCAGAGGTGGGGGGGTGGTGAGAGAATTCACCAGAGACAGTGGGGGGGGGCAGAACAGGCCGACTGATTGACATCAACTGCTGCGGGGAGCGGCGGGCGGACAGGAGAGGTCTGTTGGGACATGCTAGTCAGCCGCGGGGTGACAGGGCTGAGACCTAACCCCCAGGCCGCGGGGGGGGCCCCAGCACTACTTCATGCACTTGCCCCCACCACCGGTCTTTGTGTCTCCTTGTTCCTTTTCCCCTCCTGCCCCTCTGTTTTGATTTTTAAAGCACTGAGTGACTCCTATGCATGCCAGGGCTGAAAAGCTCCCATTTATTTCAAAGAGCAGCTAACCAGCCTTTTCCTTTCCTCACTGTTCCAAGTTTGTGCCTCTGGGACCTGGCACTGGGGGCCTTCTGCCTGAAAAGCCCTTCCTCAGATCTCCTTACAGCTGGGTCCCTCCTGTCCTTCAGTCTCAGCTTAAATATAAGCTCCTTTAAGGAACCTTCTCTGACATCTAAATCTAAAACCACCAAGTGGCACATTTATTTCTAAAACACTATGTATTTTTGTTTACGTTGCCTTCCTTTCCCATTAAAGCTTAAGCTCCAGAGGGCCTTATGTGGTTTACTCACTGCTATGCCTTCAGCAAAAGTCTTCGGGAAACATTTGCTGTAAGAAGGATGTGTAAACAGGTACACTTGGAAGCTGGCTGTCCCTGGCTGATCTTCCACAAACGTGGCCATGTTTAGCCCCTCCCACCACACAGGCTCCTCCCTCCAGAAAGCTGGGTGCCAGCTAGAAGACAGGGCTCTGGTCCCAGGCCTACAGAGAGCCCCAAACCCCACCCCTCCACTCTCCAGAATGGCCAACAAACTCACATCGACTAACTTTGAAAAGCTTTCTAGTCTGAACTCTGATACTTGGAATGAGCACGCGTAGAACACAGCCAAGGCTCCAGAGCAGAGAAGCCCAAGTTCAGGAATCCTCCTGGCTATCAGCTGACTTCAGCTCTCTTACTGGTCTAAGTGAAGGAGGCTGAGCAGAGAAAATTTAGGATGGAGCCACCAACTGGCCAGAAACTGGAGATGGGGCAGAAACTTTAACATAGTCTAGAGCAGCTAGAGAAATGAAAATCCTCAGGCCCCAGCCAGGGCAGAGAACAGGAGGCCACAGGTGGGTGTAGGGGTGGACACAAAGCCTCCCAGTCCCACCTGGAGGTGATTAACTTAACAATAGGTAACGATCCCACAAAGGAAGGAACCCCTCCAAGGAGAAGACCCCCAAATCAGCAAGCTCTGCACAGCTCCCTGCAGCCTTTTAACTAATCTGCCCTCCAGGGGCGGCTCTTTCTGCCCTGCGTCTGGACAAGCTCCTTTCTTTTCCCTTTTTTAAAAACACAGTAAGCCTGCTTTTTGGGACATAACTTGGTGGTTCTCTGCGCGCTAAAAAGGGAGCTCCTGTGAAACTTCATAGGTCACCCACGGACCCGGCTCTCTGGACCCAACACCTCTTCAGACCAACACCGTTAGGTCTGGGGGTCCCACTTTCATCTGGTGAGGTCATTACCTTTGGGATATCTCCTTTTATCCCGGGGGGCAGCCGCAGCACCCAGAAGTTCCTGTTCCTCAGCAGGTTCTCCATGTTCTCCAGCCGGCGCTGTAGCAGCCCGTACTCCTGCAGCAGCGTCCCCAGCACGGCCCACTTGCCCTCCAGCTGGTTCCCGAGATCAGCCACTGTCTTTTCGCAGCTGGCCAGCTTCTTCTCGGCTGTGCCCGTCCGTCCTTCTAGGTGTAGCAGCCGCCGGCTGTGGACCTCCACCTTCCTCTCTATAGCCTGCACGGCGGCCACCACGGTCCACAAGGAGATGGCCGCGGTCTGCAAATGCGCCTCATTTGTTGCTGGGGGCGTCGGAAGGGGCTGCAGGGATGTAAGGCACTCGGAGTCCCACTCAGAAGTCTGTATGCAGTGAGGAAAAGGAACAAAGTGTTAGGGGCAAGGCTGTCCTGTAACAGAAGCACTGAGATCAGAAGGAGCCTTAATCCAGATTAAAACAGGTAAGAAACAAGGGCTGAGTCTCAGCACTGTGACGCTGTCCACAGCCACTGCAGTGCGAGTTTGACCCCCGGCCAGAGAGTGACCCACAGGGCGCAGCAGACCTCTCCTGTCTCCCCGCTGCTCCCCTCCGCTGTGGATTTCAGTCAGTCTGCCTCTTCTGCTCCCCACTCTGTCTCTGGTGAGTCCTCTCACTCCCTGCCCCACCACAGCCTCTAGCCCAGTTCCTATTTGCGTAATAAATAAATCTTAATAAAAACAAGCAGATAAGGACCACCTATATGGTCACCTGAGGTTAATCTAAATGCAGTTTCAGTATCACCGCATAAGCCTCATCTTTGGGTTGCTCATGGTCATCAAACGCCAAGAGAACTGTTTTGGTGGTTAAAGACAGTGAAAGAACAGATGAAGAGGCAGCCCCCGCACCCGGGCACTAAGGCTCTAGGACACCCTCCCGGGGCCCAGGGGTGCCACCTCCTCGACAGAGAAGACCCAAGCGCACCAGCAGCCTCCTGGGGCGCGGTGGTGCTCACGCCCTCTGACAGGCCCCAGGCGCTGGCTCGCCAGCCCCTCTGCTTAAACCACAGCTGCGCCGTGCAGTAATGGGGAGCCGGCAGAGTGCTGAATTTGGAGGCAACACGGGGGGCTATTTTTAAGTATGTGAGGGGTATGGAACTGAAGGAGAACAGACACGTTTAAGCTTAGGCCTGTGTAACTCCAGAGGGAACAACGGAAACCAGAACGGGATTTTCCGGCAGGCAAACTTTGACCTACTATACCTTTTGAACTGGATCTTTCCAAGAAAATAAAAGGTTGCCTCATCAACAACGGATTCTGAGACAAGAGTGGTATAAATGGAAGACACCCACACACCAAGGACAGGTTGTAGAGGGGCCTCTGCCCAGCCTGCTAAGAAGCTGAAGATGCCTGGGATCTCCCCTGGCTTCAGCCCAACCCCTCACCTGCTCTGCAGCCCCGCCCCCACCCTAGGCGGTTAGTCCAGGCTCCCGGCTCTGCTGTCTTCTTTGGCTGATCATTTCAGCCCCTCCTTAACTCACCTGTCTGTCTCACCTGTTCACCTAAACCCAGCTTCGAACCAGGTGTCTATTCCTATAAGCAGCCCGGAAGCTCTGCTAAAGAAGTCACACGACCCCAATGGTCTCAAAGCTCAGCGGTCTGAGACCCCAAGCCTGCACCCCCTCCACACACGGACCTCCAAACCTCCACAACAGCGCTTCTTCGCCCAAGTGCACGGCTTAAACGCAGACTGTGACTCAGCGGCTGGAGGAAAACTGAGATCCTGCATTTATTAACAGGCTCCAGGAGATGCCAACTGCTGGTTCCTGGGAGCCACTGAGGGGTAACACTGCCCAGGGCCAGCCCTGGACCTCAGAGACAGCCTTCCACTTTGAAAGCCATTAGAGTCACTACGCGGACTGCTTCCCACCTTGCTGCTTTTCCTTCACACGCCTTCCTACTTCAAAGGCGCCAGGAAGCCAGCGCACTTTCTTCACAGCCTCCCACAGGAAGTCACCCTATGAAAACCTCTCTGCACCGATGTTCCCAATACAAACTCCTTCTACCTTTTTTAGGTACAAATCTCTCCTGTTCCTTCTCCGTAACACAGGCCTATATCGTTCACTCTGGCAGCCACCTGCAACCGGTGGCCACCGAGCGCATGAAAGGTGGGCAATCCCAGGGAGCCGTGCTGCCCATGAAGTGAAACTGAGCACGAAGACTTCGCAGCGGGTAAACATGTGGCCCATTAGGAAGCTCCCAACACTGATTACACCCTGAAACATTAAATAACACTAAAATTAAATAACACTAAAATTAATTTTTCCTTTTGTTTTTCACTTTTTAAACATAACTAAGAGACACTTCAAGCTCGATAAAAGGCTTCCGCCATATTTCTATTGGACAGGTCTGCAGAGACACATAGTCACCTCTAACAGGGCAAAAGTAAAACTGAAAATCAAAATCCGTCCCAGGGTAGAAGTGCCACTGCCCTCTTCTCTGCTTGCCTGGTGCTACTGCTACTGCGCCCTTTTTCCTCTTCCTCTTCCTACTTGCCAGAAAGCATGCGTGGCTCCGGACAGCCCAAAATAGCATTCCTTGGGGTGACCCAAGACTTCGTAGTTGGCTCCCAGGCATACTTTCCAGCCCTGTTGTACCTGCCTGGCCCTTGCCATTCTACACAGGTCTGTGTGCCAGGTCCTTCCCGCTCACCTCCTGTGCCCCAGCGAAACCCCTGTAGACACCACTGAGTGCATCCGATGGAAGCTTGGAGTAGAAAACGTAGATGAGCATTCGAAAGCCAGGAACAGGAGGTGGGTTAAGAGGATGAAGGACTAGTTCAAGCAATCCTGGCATTTCCTAGTCCAGGAACTGGAGCTGGGGGAGGGTTGGGATGACCGGCCAGTCCTTACAGAAGACCGACCCTTCCTCAAAGTGCGAAATTCCGACCACACAGAAATGTCAGTCGCGGCGCTCTATAAAATGCAGTTCTGTGGCCCTCCCTGGTGGTGCCACTGGGTGGGGCGCAGCACTGCAAGCCGGCTGCAGTCACTTCAGCTTCGGTCCCCACCCCGGAGGTGACCCACGAGGCGCAGAAGCCCCCTCCTGTCTCCCCGCCGCTCCCCACCGCAGTGTGCTTCCTC